AGGGGTGCGCTGAGTGGTCGCTGCCGGGCAGGCCGCCCAGGTGACCAGGGGGCTCGCTGACCTGTGGCCGGCGGACTTCCTGGTCGGGTCACCGACCGTGAAATGGGAGGAAACAGAGACTTTCCACAGTCACGTCCTTCCATTCAGGCCGTTGGTGTGTCTTTGAAATGTGTCCTGGATGACAGAGTGTGTCAGACATAGGACTGTCACCCAGTAATGTAACAACAGCCAGGGAGGCCTGCAGACGGGGGGTGCAGCCTCACTCCACGGTCCTGCTTCCAGAGACGCCCCCAGGGGATTTGCGCGCAGGTCCAGGCACCGAGCCAGTCCTCGGGCAGCGGCCCGGGTGCCCGGCCTCGGGCTCAGGGTGGGGGCCGTTCTCCTCGCCACCTGCCATGGATGTAGCCGTGGGGGCTGAGCTCAGGCCAGAGCCATCCCTGGAGTTAAAGGCGGCTCCCAGCCGAGCCCGGAGTGTGTGGCCAGAGCCCTGGGCAAGGCCGCAACTGTGGGGATCAAGGGAGGGCTCTGCCCAGGGGGGCAGAGGCTGGGCCTGTGAGAACCAGCCTGACTCACGCTCACACCCACAGGAAGCAGGGTGAGCGCCCATGATCGATGTGCTGTTCAAACAAGACGCGGCCGCCAAGGGCACCGGCGCTTCCTTCCACGGCAAACATTCGCCCTCGCAGGCAAGCGACCCGGGAGCCGGCTTCCAATCAGATGTCTGCTGGCCACCTCGGGGGAGGGGGACAGGGGCTGACTTAGCCGTGTCCTGTGTGAGGCCTGCCGTGCCCACAGCGGGGCGGGCGCTGGGGGGAGGTCCCGGCTGGGCACTGTCCACACCCTGGGCACCGTCCCCGCCATGGGCGACACCCTGAGCCCCTTCCCTCTGTTCCCAGGGACCTTGCTCCTCGGAAACAGGCTCACCGTGGGATGTGACCTCGTGGTGCGCCTGGCATCCGGCAGGAGTGTGGGAGAGCCGGTTCCTTTCTCCTCCACCTGGAATTAGTCTCACTCTTCACATGAGTTCTCTCCAACGCGTGGGGCTCAGAGGAGGCGAGGGGCCCGCTCAGCCAGGCCTGCCCAGAGGGCCGGTTTCCCCGCCGTCTAAGTGGGGCGTGTCTGGAAGCACCGAGCCCGGAGGCGAAGCAGCCAACCTAGGTGCCGAGCCACATCCACTCTGAGGTCCAGAGACCTGGAGGCGGAGACCCTGATTGTGACTTCCCCCGGCGCCGGGTCCACCATGTGCTCACACAGGCGCGTCCACGGCGACAGCCGAGCCCCCTCGTCCCAGGTGGTCCCAGCCCGCCCGGCGCTGAGCCCCCTCCTTCCTAGCAGGTCCCCTGTGACCACACAGGGTCCACCCCAGGCAGCACGCGGGGTCCCTTCCTCTGGGCCCCCTGCCCTCCTCCTGCCCCTCCTGCCTCCGACCTTCCAGGCCCCTGGACACCACCCAGTCGCTGGGGGCGGTGACCATTCTCTCGGCTGCATTCCCCCCAGGACAGGCGGGTCTCCCCGCACCGGCACAGGGCAGTGCGCCTTTCTCTGCCCCGGAGGGCGGGGTCTCTGCCCCGGAGGGCGGGGTCTCTGCGGCAAGTGGCTGTGCCTCTCGTGATCGCAGATCCCTCCCTGCGGGACCTTGGAGCAGAGGAGGTCGTGGGATCAGAGAAAACCCCACGAGGCCACACGTCTCACGGATGCGTCCTGAGTGGCCGTGGGACAGGCGTGTTGCGATGGCCTGAGCCCTGAAGAAGTGGGGACACTGGGGTTCTCGTCCCGGCTCCGCCACCAACTCAGCAGGCAGCTTCGCCTCGGTCTCCCCGTCTGCAGAGTGGGGTTTGGGTAGAATCACCTCCGATCGCCCCGAGTCCTGTGCAGAGCATTTGTGAGTGTCACAGGCCGTAGGACATACACAGAGCATTCCGTGACCTGCACACAGAAGCTTCTCCTGCGGCGAGGCCTCCTGAGACGCAGGACGGTGTGTGCGTGGTGCTGGGGTCCGGAGGCCCCTCCGTGGCTGTGCGCTCGGGCGCTCCCTGCGCATCACACGCCAGGTGAGGGGGCCGGGCAGCGAGTGTAAGGGAGACTGACTGCTCTCCGTGATTCACATTCTGGCTGTTGTGGGAAACCGTGTATCTACCTGCAGGATGTTCCCACGAGCTGTCCGTGTCCGCGAGCGCATCAGAGTGATCACTCATCGCCGGGGTCATGCAGCCGCGCCGTGTTAAGCTCCTTCTGTTCGAGGCAACAGATTGAGAACCTGTAGGCTGAGCTGCCAGCTCAGTTTTCCATCTGCTTCTGTTGGGGTCCCTTCTTTCCTGGCGCCCTCTGGCCGCCTTTGTCCTCCTCTGAGGAGGTCCTGGCCTGGGCCCATGGACATTAACACGTTCAGCGCCATGGCAGTCACCGGTGACTGACACTATACTTTCCATCCGGACCGGTCAGTCCCTGGTGCCGCCAGCACATCAGTGACATCGGATATCGCAGGCTAAACGGAAAGGAAGACAAAACAGGCTTGGCGCCTAACGTGTTAAGGGGCTCACTACCTGGGCTCCGGGACCCTCAGCCTCCTGGGCTCTGGGACCCCCAGCTTCCTGGGCTCTGGGACCCTCAGCGGCCTGGGCTCCGGGACCCTCAGCGGCCTGGGCTCCGGGACCCTCAGCGGCCTGGGCTCCGGGACCCTCAGCGGCCTCGTCTCTTAAACGCACGTTGTTGCGAAGATGAAGCTGTGCCACCTCGTGATCATTGGACGGCAGACCTCATGCTGCTCAGCGTGTGGGAACCGAGCTGCCTCGCCGTGTGGCTCCCAGGCACCAGCACCCAGGACCTCACCTCCCGGGAGAGCCCAGCCCAGGCCCAGGTCAGCCACGGGGCCTCCAGGAGCTCCCCTGCCCCCCG